CCCCAAAACCCCAAAACCCCAAAACCCCAAAACCCCGTTGTGATGCATTATGGTTGATAGTAAGCAAATTAAAAACAAAAGCACAAAATAAACTAAATATGAGGCTAAAGCCGCCATCTTTGAGGCTTAAGATAGACTCTTAAAGGAAATTGGCACACAAGAGGGATCGTGGATTGGTTCTTCTGCATCGCTGTGGTACTCGAAACTTTCCTGGATTAATGAATCTAGAGCATTGTCTTTAGATTTATTAATTAGTAAATCATAATTGATTGTTTGCTCTTTTGTTTGGGAATAGTTGTATGGAGTGCTTTCTTCAAATTCAAATAATCCTTGATTAAATTCATTCTTCCAAAAATTTCTGTGAAGAAGATTTGGGATATTATTGGGTTCTGTAGAAATCTTTTCGTCGTCTTCCTCTTCATTAGTGAGCTTGATAGCTTCACCTTCGTCCTTTCATGCAAGTAATTGAATGAAGTTCCTCTCCATAACTCCTAAATTTGATATAATTTCTGCTGTATTAGATCGGGAAAGAAAAGGTAGCATTGAGAATTAATATGAATCATCTTTAGTTCATAAGCTACTCCAAGTCTTACCATTTGAATTGAAGTAAGATGGCTGGTTAATAATCTCCTGGGATCCGTCTACCCCTCTATACTCTTGCTGAAAATATCTATTTGCATCTGAGCTTTGACTACTATTACCAGCAGTTCTTTTTGATTCGGATCCTTTATGAATGATTCCTTGTTTCGACATCAATTCTATGTTAGCATCTATGGTATCGGAGTTAGCAAGATTCTTCATGAATTTTATAAAAGTGTTGTATTACTATAAAATTCTAAAAACCCCACTAATGTTAATGGAAGCGGTGAATAATGTTTCTCATGAGCGTGAAAAATTATTCCTGGCTAATAATTATACATGTTTTGGATAGTTCATGAGTAAACCCAAAGAGCTTTAGAAATTTGAGCCTAAAGTTTAGTGGGGAAGATGAACGCAATAAAAAGTGTAGATCACGATAAAATTAATGATGCCATTATAGCATACCATAAATTGCTGTCGAAGTGCTCGCGTTGCTACAGTATTGGAAGATATTTGTCTCAGGAGCCTGCATATCTTGGGGTAGGTCAACTTTGTATTTTTTGTCAATTTTGTTTTCATCCTGATCTAACTTTTCCTCTTGGTCTTCAAAATTCATTGAGTTAAGTTCTTTCTCAAAAACTTTCATTTCTTTTAAAAATCTCTGCTTATCCACTTGGGCTTGATCATCAAACAATTTTCTGCTGCTCTGGTCTAAATTCTTCCAAAGTTTCCCAACCTCTTTCATCACTTGGAGTGCATGCATTTTAGGATTCTGCCTTCATACCTTTGCGCGTGTTTCTTTGACAAATATCATATAAGAAGAGAGAGGCTTCTTGGGTCTGTTCTTTTCCCATTCCCTAATTTTCTGAATGCTACCACACTTTAGTGCAAACTCTTTGAACTCTTTCTCATATCTCAATTTGTCTAAAGCAGAGTCAACTAATTTCTCTAGAGAGTAACGTAACTATGATTTTATGAATTCATGAAAGTATCCCTAGTCACTAATAACAATTTAGATTAAAGTCTCAGGATACATTATCCTATCGATTGTAAAACAGCAAGATGCAATTATGGATTCATCAAAAGAAATTATGCTGAGGAACTTTAAGATAAATACAAACCATCTTTAGCTTTCTGCTTGTATGGCTCCTTTTCATTATCTGTGAAGCCTGACCACTCTTTGCCAAACTCCTTCATTAGAGCAGGAGCAATTTTATTAACTTTCTTTCCAGCAGCAAACTGGGCTTTATTTCTATAATAATGTAAGATTCGGCCGACTTCAGCTGAAGACTTACCCCTTTGATGAAAAATGCATAAGCAGTAATATTCTTCTTAGGCTTCAACAAGACAGACTTGAACTCGGTGAGGTCTATCTCGTATTTACTGTTCTTGCTCTTTATCTCTTTGCTTTTCTTAGAAGAGTGCTTCTTTGAGTCCTTGATCGTTTTATCAGCTTTCTGCTCAGTGGTCTCACTAGTCTTCACTCTTTTTGCCAATCTCGGTGATTTTTTCTTAAGCAATTTTGAACCAAATCTTCTTTTAGACATTATAATTATTTTCATTATGTCAATTTAAAACTTAGTCAAAGGGGTTTTGGGGTTTTGGGGTTTTGGGGTTTTGGGG